ACTGTGCGTAACAATCGAATAATTCAATCACATACTAATTGCAATAATTTCATTCAATTCAATTATAATCGAAGCCTTTCGTTAGCGTTGAAGGTAGGAGAAGGGGAAATTACATAGCGGGAATGCTGGCGGAGGTGCGGAGTGAAACGCAATTTGCTGCGAAGAGTTTGTCCCGGTGATCTCCCCGCGGCGCTATCGGCGCGGTACACCCCTGACTGGCTGAACACTCGCCGCGGACCTCTAGCGGTTCAGCGGAGAGGCTGTTAGCGTGGCATGAAATGGTTCCTATTCTCAAGTTCTGGGCAGTCTCACGGCTTTTTCTTCATACCCGCACCACTGACCCCCTCTATCTTGATTCTAATGGGCTGCCTTCTAATTGCAAACTCTGCCTTTGAGTACAAAGGCGGAGTGTTTATTCAATCAGCACTGCGCCCTCCGAACGGCCTGATAAATTAATGGGAATGTTTCAATCATTGTATAATTTGTTTTCAGACATGCATTCTGTCATGCGCACCAGCCCGATGCCAATGTACTATCGGATTCTACCGTAACTCCAACGGGAGTTGTGTAACAGCAGCCGATTGTGACGGTAATACGAACCCATACTAACCATTTAATGTGTTCCTAACCTCACGATCACTTATGCAGCATATATTTTCAAGAAGAGCTGTCTTTTGCTTCCGTTTCGCACCTTTTGAGTACAACGATTATTATTCACGTTAACATTTTCGTTGTCGTTTCAACGTCGCTTATTCACCAGCGAAGTATCCGTTTGAAAAGGGAAGTTTTGCTACCTCAGTTATTTTTATATCTATTCGGGTATTCTTAATATTGTACAGATACACAGTGATAAAGCTTTCTTCTTGGAAACTGGTTTTCTTTTGTGTTTATTCTGATTAGCTCATCGAACAAAATGAAAAGAGGAACTTACTCAGTTGATAAGGTGAGTTAGCACATTATCATGTATGTTATTGGTTACAGCACTAACATGGGTTTCTGAGTTCAACTCTCTCGGTTAACGAGGGAAGCCAGCTCTAGCGCGTTTATCTGCTGGAAACAATGAAATTAAGTATTCCTTCGAAGAAAAAAAGGTTGGCCCTTCTTGAGGGTAGCGATCACGATAATGAATACTTGAGCCACGGAAAAAGCACGTGAAATAGGACTCCCATTGCGCCCGACCAAGCTTGGGCGACCTAAATAGGCTTAAAGGCAAAGCTCGGGCTCAGACTTGCCTCAGAAGGATCGGAGGTATTCGCCGAGATGCTCGCCTCTTTGAAAAAACTTTCCCGCGCGCGCGGTTTCAAACGAATATGCACTGGGGCGAGCTTTCTTTAGGGGTTTGCTGTCGTTCTCGCCACCAATGCGATCTCAGTGCCCACCTTGTTGAATTTTGGGTTTTTCTCTCTACTAAATGATCTCTAATGAATACTACGAAATGGCGCAATGTGCCTCCGGAGGGGAGGAGGCAGTCTGTTGGAAGGCCACTAGGACTAAACCTAAGCAAGGGGACGAATTCCGGAGCGAATGAAAATTGCTTACGCAGCTCGATTCCCTCTTTTCCTCCAAAGCTTAGTCCCAAAACTGAAAGTTCCCGTGAATCTGACGCAATGTTAAGGGCTGCCCCCCCCCCACCCGGAGGCCCATTGTACTCTTAGAAATTTTACCTCTTCCGTTTTTTTTGTACTTATAAATTTTACCTTCGTCCCTTCAAATGTAAGGCTCAAGCCTGTTATTTCGCCAATGCGTTTACATTTCAGAATCTTTAAACGGAGTTCGTGGTTGAAACCTAATAGGAACTTGAATGCGCATCTTTTCACTTTGACACCCACCATTCGTATTGCTCTCCAGCACAACAGTAACAGCCCAATCGTTCCATCGAGAACATAAAGACCCGTTTACACATCACACACGAATTCCAATCGGTGGTTGAAAAAAATTGTAGACTCATACCTTTGGAAAGACACTGCAAGTAAAGAAGGAGGAGAATGACGGAAACCGCTTCTACCATGTAAGTTGGGAATTTCTGTGACCCCACTATGGGGTCACTTCTTGGAAGCACTGGAACTCACAGAAATTATGTCTAAGTGGAACTCTCAGTGACCTAAAAAGTTCGCTGGAAATGATAAAGGAACCCTATCACGATTGGTGGCTTGTGAGGAATCTCCACGATAAAATACGCTGTAAGTCGGGGATCTGTTTTCAACAATCAACATGCAGGCATTTCATCAATTTCCATCAAAATGCTCCGTAAAATACAAAATTATGTCACGAATAAAAAATAAAGTGACTTGAAGGTGGGCCCGCAAACAGGCGGTACTAGCGTATTATCGGAATTCCCCTTACTGCAACCTTACTAAGGCGGCTTTG